ACATATGGTGACTGTGAGCTCAGCTGAGCTGAGCGGGCTCCATGTTGTCTGCACAGGTAACCCAGGTAACCCAGGTAAAAAGGCGCAAATCTATTGTCTGCCGTTGCTGTGACGGGGGAGGGAGGGGCCTGACGACATGTACCCAGAACCTCCCGCGACACTGTTTTGCATCATCCGGGCATTGGGATCTCAACCCAGAATTCCAAGGGCCGGCGGAGACTGCGGGAACTGTGGGATAGCTGTGGGATAGCTACCCATAGTGCAATGCTCCGGAAGTCTATGCTAGCCTCGTACTGTGGACGCGGTCCGCCGACTAGAGCACCTAGAGCATTTTATTGTGTGGACACACACAATCGGCTGTATACAACCGATTTCAATAAAACCGGCTTCTATAAATTCGAACTAATTTCGTAGTGTAGACATACCCTTAGTCCCATGCTTATGGGTGCGCTTCCTACCTTCCCGACTAGACCGTGACATGGGGTCTGCGCGAATGGCTCCTCCGATATCGGAGTCGGATTTAAGAGCAGTAGGAGGCACGCTCCTCTCTAATTCAGGCTGATGTATAGGGGGGTTCCATGGCCCGGGTGCAATTGAGGTCTCATGGCCACCTCCATGAGATACTTCTCGAAACCAAGTGCTCATTCTTCTTGGGTGCGGCTGGGGGAAAGATTAATAAATACTGCGCCTAGTCGCGATGTGAACTTCTCTCAGGCAGTAGAGGCAGTGTTGGTGGCCGTCACTGACCGACAAGGATCACGGGCAGGAGACACGATTTGAAGCCCGGAATTCTGGGAATAGTCCAGTACCCGAATGGGGTACTCGGGCGGGGGGAGACCCCTGAGCTCCACCCTATTCTAAACTATTAAAATTACGACTAAATCTGAAAACTGTATAATTATAATTATTATAACTGTGTCAGAGACTAGGACACTGAAGGTTCTGATCTGGACCATGTGGCGGTGAGAAAGAACTGAAGATGCGGTTGGTCTACCCCGCCCTTTATTGCCTCAGACAGAAGCACGCAGGGAGCCAGGATGCATGGGCGGACCAAGGGACACTTTCAAATGCTCCAACTCCAGGCACATGCGTAACCCACAATGAAATACAATAGGTACCATCACTCTAAGAAGAATCAGCAATTTAAACTAGCACAATGAAAATCCTCATGGAGGACTTAGATCAGTGTTTCTCAAACTGGGGCTGCCGCTTGTGCAGGGAAAGCCCCTGGCGGGCCAGGCCGGTTTGTTTACCTGCCCTGTCCGCAGGTTCCGCCGAGCGCGGCTCCCAGTTGCCGCAGTTCGCTGCTCCAGGCCAATGGGGGCGGTGGGAAGCGGCGCAGGCCGAGGGACATACTGGCCGCCGCTTCCAGCAGCTCCCATTGGCAAACCGTGGCCAGTGGGAGCCGCGATCGGCCGGACCTGTGGATGGGACAGGTAAACAAATCGGCCTGGCCCGCCAGGGGCTTTCCCTACAAAAGTGGCGGTCCCAGTTTGAGAAACACTGACTTAGATGCATGGTTCCTCTAGGCCATTTAACTTTCATCTACTCTACAGTAGTATGACTAATTGCCATTCTCAAATTTCCCATGTCATATCAACGAGTGACATGGAATTGCTGAAATTTAACTGGAAATATGCCAGCTTGAAAGCATTATAATGATCAGTCAAAGAAAAGATGTTTAAGTCCTGGCAAGTTAATATTTTGCTTGGGGTCTTCCCAAGACACCCAAATTAGATTTATCACATTGAATTAAATATCCAAAAGGAAAAAATATGATTTGATCTCCATCAGGTATCCTCCCAAATCTAGTGGTGACAAGAGTCAACAGCTGTGTCTGATTTCTTTACAGTGTGTGGGTGCCAAGTATAATTTAAAATACTCAGACAAAAATTGTGAAGACATTGTTGCATATATTCTGTGAGAATTAAAGTCCTATATTAAAAGATAGCCACTTCAAAAAAACAATGTAGGAGGGAGAGGCCATTATGCAAGCAAAATATGAATAATCTTTTTCCCTCTAGAAAGCTCATCGTAGTCCCGAGTACATCAAGATAAAAGATACGTCCGTAATTTACATCCCCCGAAATGTCCCCATTTATAGTTTTAAAACATTGACAGGTTTGTCCTCTTATTTGCTAGCTATTTTCACTATAGACAAAAGGAAGCACGTATTTTAACTCTTTTTCTATTTGAACATTAAGACCCAATTCATTTCTAGATCGTTATGATTCTTATTCAAAAAATAAACAGTTAACTTACCCACTTCATCCTGAATCTCCTCAGCAACCGCTGGTACGTTGTAGAGAAGGGAAAGAGACTGGTTCATGCGCTCATATATCACACGTAGGTGTGTCATAACCTACCGAAATAGAAGATCCATTTTGATGGGAAATCATTAGCATTTTACCTACAGTCATCACTGCAGATTTATATATTACAACGCACGACAGTTTTCAAAGGAAAAGGTATAAACACACTGAGGCATGCCTCCTGGATTCTGCAAGTCTCCAGTCATGAAATCTATTGCACATTTCAGCTCTCTCCAGCAGCTGACACAGAAATAGTCTTTCTGGCAATGGTTCTGCTGTCTGGCCCCTCCTTGTGTTCCTGCATCTGAGCTTACATCTTCTCCCAGCATTCTTGTCCATACCAAACATGTTAACAAGGACTGAATGAGATGAGGGTATCAATGAAGGTGGTCAAAATTTTTTGGTTCAACCTGCTTTTTGATGGAAAATTGGGTTTTTGACTAAACAAACATTTTCACAGAAAGTGTTTGCTTTCTGTGTAAAATTTAGATTTTTTTAAATGAAAAACGGAATGTTCCAAAAACCGAAATGATTTCATCCAAAAGTCAAAATTATTCAATTCAGAAATGCAGCTGTGGTAGCTGTAGTTCTGTTGTGTTACCTCATGGCCTCAGTTTCTATGAGCTGGGCTTCCCAGCTGGACTTCCTCTCCCATGATGCACCATGCCACTGGACTACCATGAAGCACCATCTCCCACCACCAAGAGGCTAGACCATGGTGCATTATGGATGATGTAATTTGACCAGGAAGCCCACCATATACAAGAGAGTGAGAACATAAGGCACTCAAACTACAACTGCTATGAGGCATTGTGGTAGCTTTTCATAACTGGAATATTTTGGTTTTTAATTGTTCACCAAGAAGTTACTTTTCTGCAGACCTTTCCCCCCCACAATTTTCTGACCAGCTCTAGTAGTCAATAAAATATAGAGGAGGAAACATCCCTCAGTACCAAGATCTCAGCACTCACATTTGCTCTTATTGCAGTTCTGCTGTGCTGAGAGAACACAGGGACCAGTGCAAGTACATTCAGAAATACATCTGCATTCCTTGTTCGAATTTCTTATTTGCCAATTCCCATTCTTCCTTGTCCAGCAACTGCCAAACTTCCCTGTATACTGCAAATTTCAGCTGCACACAGCCTCAGTTTTAAAGTAATCCAAATTTTAAAATAAATGGTCATATTAAAGGTTAAAAAAAAGGATGATGATTTTTAAGGTTCTTTCAGGGGCTAGTTAGAGGTGAACATTTCAGATTCCAGTGATTTTAAAACAATAAAATCTCAACTTCCGAACTTGGCATAGGAGTTCAAAACTAAGGGGTGTCTACTGTGTAAACCATGACATTAACATTAATGGAATTACATGTCTTTAATTTGGCTGCTAGCAATGCCTTATCAGTTCAAGAATCACAGCTGGGGCAAAGTTTCCAATTACATGGTATCGGTAAAGAAAAAGCAGATTCTACAGATTACAGCACATATTTTCAAATTCAGCCACTGTGTCTACAAGTTTAATTGGCATCTTGAAAGTCAACTACATCTCTGTTGGCTTCTTTTTTGTTCTATGTAATTTGCAATAAAAATATGAAAACTGTTCCAAAACAAATGTATCAAGGGTTGCACAAACATTCAGCAGTTGATGTGCCATGAAATACAGTGATCTCAGCTGAAAAGTGTGTTAGACACAAGCAAAATGCACGATTTATAGTTATGGGCACCATGAAGTAACCTTACAAATGACTATAGAAATCCTGGTCAGAATGTTTAAGACCCTATTGTATTTAAAATTGTAAAAAAAAAGAGGGAGTCAAATATTTAGCAGACAGTATCACAGTTTACAGCGTATATTCAGGAGACAGAACTTAATTTAAATTGCTGATAGTAGATTTGCAATAGTTCAAAACGCTGCTTGCCCTATTTACTGATTATTACCTGAGATCTGATTTGGGCAGCTTTCTTTGGATCCACCATGCGGACATGTTCAAAGTGTTTGAGGGTATGCTGTCTGTCTTTCTGCTCTGCACGCACGTACTTCTTCAGCATATTGAACACATGGCGAGGCTATGGAAGAAAAGCAGGAGAAAATTCTGAATTCAACGTATTTTTCTGCATATCTGAGCATTGGGATACCTTAGATCAAAGACTGCTCATGAGACAAAGCACTAAAACAGTCACTGCTTGCAACACCTGCCCACTGAAGAAGGTGCAACTACTGGGAAGAACATCCAATCACTTGATCAGTATATTGCAGGTTATGCAGCTGGGCAATGGCCGCAGATCGATATGACCGCTAGAGAGCGTTGGGAGTGTCCAGCTTGGCCCGATTTAAATTCCATCGGTTACATTTCTCTCAGGGGGTACGTCGACACTGCAATTAAAAACCGCAGCAGGCCAGTGTCAGCTGACTTAGGCTTATGGGGCTTGGGCTGCAGGGCTGTTTAACTGCAGTATAGGCTGCAGCCTGAGCTCTGGGACCCTCCCACTTCGCAGGGTCAAAGAGCCCGGCCTCCAGCCTGTAAATCTACCCTGCAATTAAACAGTCCCGCAACCTGAGCCTGAGTCAGCCGGCACAGGCCAGCTGTGGGTGTCTAACTGCAATGTAGATGTACCCAGTAACTGTTTTACTCTTGGTGTCAGCAATAAGTAATCAACCTGAACTGCACGACAGGAACTGCCTAGTTAAGATGCTAATCGAGGCCTACCTGAAACTAGGAGTTCATACATTTCCACAGCTTGTCTAGGCAGAACACACTGCACCCGCCAGGGACTCCTCTGCAGTCCTTCACTTCCCTCTCACTAGCTCCCTGTGTGCTACCCTCCCACCTCCCTCCATTTCAGGGACCCTATGCAACTCTTCCCTCTCTGTCCCTCATGTAAAGGGGATTTGTGCCCATACCACTGACCCTCCCCAAGAGAGAGGCTCTGTGTGACCTCCCATTCCCTACCCCCCACCCCCGATGCTCCCCATTTTCCCCTTTCCCTCATGCCAGGGTTTCTGTATTCACTCCCTTTCCCCTTTCCCCCCAATGTCCTCCCATACCAGGGGCTCTATGTTCCCTCAGCTCTATCCTCTCTCCCCTCAGAACCCAGATCCCTCCCCTCCTGGGTCCCCACTTTCCCTTCCCCACCTCCAGGTCCCCATTTTCCCATCTCCACCCTGGAGGAGTAGGGTGGGAGTGAATCGAGAATGGGTTCAGAAGGTGTGAAGAAGACTGGTATAGGTGCTCATTTATAGGGATAAAGCCTGCTGAAATTTACTCAGGATATTTACACTGATGTATAGTGTTGAAAGAGTTAAGGATCTCTTTAGTTTTCAAAAATCTTTAAAAAAGTAAAGAAAAGAAAAAGAAAATCTCTTCTAAGGAAATTTCCAGCCTAGAGATAAAAAAATGCAACATTGTTTCAAAGTCAAATAAAAAGCTTTATTGGCTTTAGGACTGAAATTCATTAGTGGTACAGAGTCTTGGAATGAAACTGCCAGCAGACTCCTGCTACGGACAAAGTCCCTAAAAGTAAATAACCTTATGAGTGCTGCAGTAAGGACAACGTGAACTGAAACAATAACTGTCAAAGGATTACAGAAACAGAGCCTAGAGAAGAAGGAAGCACAGGGGGACTTAAAACAACAGTGGAACTTCAAAGAAAGGAAGAGAGATTATCTTTGTTGACATTTCAGTCCTCTTTGCCTCAAGAAATATATATATATATAGGTTAGGGTAGAGAAGACAAACATTAATTTCTATTTCTTGAAGAGACTCTCCATTTAAGTTTCATGTTTAATGCCATGGGACACATTTCTTGTTTTCCCTCAGCATGTTTATGTCGACTGTGATGGTCAGATCCAGGAAGATTTACATTATCTGGGACAACTATACTAAGAGAGGTCTTATTGCTATAGCAATAATAAATCCCTCTTAGGGACCACTTATTCTGCTAGCCCCATCTGCATAACATGGCAACATACTTTAAGTGTAATTATTGAAAAAATTGAGAAAAGCCCAAAACTTACTACTAACAGGAAGATACAGCAGATAAATCATGAGAAACTAGAGCACCATTTGCCAAGAAGCGACTCTTGGATGTTTGCACATGAAACTTAATTAAAAGCACAAGACATCAAATAAACTATTAAATGTACAGGTTTTTGTACAGTAGTGAGACCTTAGTTTCTTTCCAACGGAGGAAAAAAAAAGCACTAGATATTCTGCATGTGCTCAAACAAGTCTGGAGGTTTGTTTTTAACTATACTGACCCAAGGTAAGACCTGGACAGTAATGAATGGTCTACTTATTTATCAAACAGCACAATGAAAGTTAGGAAATCAGGACTCTGAAGAAGTGTGATTTAAAGCTAAGGAGAGTTTTTGATGCTGTGAAACATTCTATTGTCTCACACTGATTCAGAAAGTTCATTTGCTAATAGCTAGGAGCTTGTGAATGGAGCCATCACTGGAAGAGTTGGATTGCATGTATTTGCAGGATTTCTTGACTGCTGCCACAACATTCATCCCCATAGGTACGTGTGAGAGAGCAAAGGAGGCAAGATGGAGTGAGGGAGCTGCCTGCAGGAGATTTGAAGGCAGGATCAGGCTTGTTACATGAGCTTAACAGAGACACCTGGTGTGGGGAGGGAGTCTCAAGCAGATGGTTCCCTACAAGAGTGGAGAGCAGCTGTTTAGGGGAACTGACTCTAAGAAGTCTACATGGGAGTTAGCTCTGAGCAGGACAGTTGTAAGCTGAACCACAAGGTGGGTCACCCCTAATAATTCAAAAGAAAACTTTACGAAGGAACCCTTTCACTCCCCACAGCTCTGAGGTAAGAGCCATGCTTTGGGGACAGATTTTTGGAACTTTGAGTTTTACTTTTGAGTTATTGTCCGAATAAACCCAGGTCCCAATCAGGGCGGTGGCTGGATGAGCAAGGGTGTGGAATCTCTGTAAAAGGGACTGGAAGAGGGAGACCAAAGGGTAGGGCAATGCAGAAGCAACCTGGGCACATGGCAGGTGGCCATCTTATTTAAAATATGTAATAAACCATTCAGTCTTGCCTGATGTCCAGTAGTTATTACAAGGGACTGAGTCAGGCGAACTGGGTTATATTCCTGTCACTGCCACCAACTCCCTGTGCGTAACTGAGCAAATAATCTACAAGCTTCCATGGCTAAATGGAGATATGTGAGGTCATTTCTACTTTGGGCTCAACAAAACAAATGGCATATTGTCTATTGGTTCTGCTTTTCCAGAGTCTTCAGTTGCCCAAGAAAGAATAATCATACTCATGCCTTGTCTGGAAGAGGTCAGTACTCCCCTCCCCACCCCTCCCCAGTCTGATGCCAGAAATTTAAGAAACTTAACTCTAGACAAAGCTGTCAAATTTAGTAAGGAGCAATGAAAGCACAGCAGCAGCTTTGCCTGTTTGGATGTGGCTGGGACCACAAATAACCTCGATGTTTTATATGCACAATTTCTGTCATGGAAAAATAAAATTACTTTTCAAGGATGAGAATGGAAAAAGATATAATAAATTGGTAACTGCTGGTGCTGGAGATATGCATATAGAATAATGAAATGGTGGTACTTGTACCTTGATTATCTAACTACTCTAAAGATCAGTTCAATGTTATTTGTATTACGATAGTAACTAGAGGCCCTGGCTGAGATCAGGAACTCATCGTGCTAGGAACTGGGCAAAGACATAGTAAAAGACAGCACCTACCCCAAAGAGTTTATAATCTAGGTGGATGCAGCAAACAAGGGGATGCTGAGGAGGTAGAGAATGAGATGAGAGGGAAAGGACCATGCCTTAGAAAATGAACATTAGTTATGGCTCACTTCCTGCCTAGCTGTTCTCAGCAGATAGCGTCTTGTAGGCATCCTGGCAGAGTTGAGTTTTAAGAAGGAATTAAAGTGATCTTGTGTCCACCCCACAAAAACAGTCTGCAGCATGGGCCAAATCCTTGCAATCCTATCACATGCAGAACTCCCATTCTCTTCACTGAGAATTACCCACTTTGAAGGGATGCAGGATCAGTTCCTATAGCTGGATGGATTATTGTAATTTTAGGGCATGGATTACTACAGCTGGCGGGGAAGGGACCTTCAGATTAAAGCATAAATGAAAACATTGCTATTATCTGATCATTTAAATCTTAAGGTCTGAACTCTGATCCCCTCGGCGTAAGACTGCACTGCTGCTAGACCACTGAGTCAGCCCTGTGTGTCTTAAATTTAATATTTAATCCACAGGGTTGATAATTATTGAAAAATTACTGGCTATGGTACTTATCAATTAAATTCTGCTCCCTATTTTTAAGAATTTTTTTTTTAATACATTTGTAGCTATACTACTATTAATAATAATAATAATAAAAAGCTGGAGGACTGTATGCCAAACAGATAATAAACTACATAAGGCAGTTAGCAGGGGCTGCCTGTGTCCTATAGAATAATTTTCATTACAACCCAGCGAGAATAATTGACAAAAATCTTATTTTTTAATTATCTCACTTAACTTTATCAGAAAGCAAACTGTATTTTGCAAATTGACTTTCCTCATCCACACACTTATATTTATCTTGACTAGCCCTTTCGGCTACTCTTATTAATCCAGTAACAAGAAATTAAATTACCTCCTAAGCAGCAGAATACTTAATTCCTCAACATTTTGAACACATCTTATTTCATTAAGAATATTGTGTAATGCTGATTTCAGAACACTGGAAAATCCTGATTGGTTGGCACAGAGATTAAATTTCTTAAGAGCAAGGGCATGCTCACATTATCTATATATGAAGAAGAACGGTGTGCATATGTGTGCAGACACAAACAGACTGAGGTTATCTATGTAATAAATTGTGGAGTGGTATGAACTTGTGCTCATCAAGCACTCTTCATTACTTCACCTGCATCCTGCCTCATCTTCTATGGAATTTAATTTAATATTTCTAACCTTTCAGCAGATTCAAACACCTGCCTTTTAAAAAACAAATAAAACGTAGTCCCCTTCTGTGTATTCCGTATGGTACGGCCTAATTACATGATCACATATTATTTCTCCAATAA